ACAGACTTAATGTAAGATAGTGATGGTGAAAAGTCTCTCTATATGCTTTGTGGCAAGTGGACTGGAAAAGCTGAGTGGATGCAGGATGACCAGAGTTGAATTAACACAAAATATATTTTGGGGGATATTTAGAGGAACATAATGACTAATTATGAGGGTTTGTGGAGACGTAGGTATTACAGTTGATACTAGATTTCAAACTTGCTCAACCTTAGATGATGGTGCAACTCAATGAGAGGAAATGTTGATGAAAGAGTCAGAGTTCACTATGGGGTTGGAGTGATTAGTACTTATGCTGGGGCCACCTGAAGTGATCTAATAGGCAGTTAGATGTGCAGCTCTGAGACTACACTGGCACCTAGGACAAGAGCGAATTGAAACCATGAAAGTGGATCTGATTGCATAGGGAGAGCACACCATGGAAAAGAGGAAGACCAAGGACCACGGTCAGAGAAAACTCAGTATTTAAAGTTCCATTATGGGAGGAAAAGATAAAAAAGGAGAGTGATCTGAGAATTATGGACGAAATTAGCATCTTTAAAGCCAGCATCTCTGTAGCACTCTGAGCCTTCCTTTCATAGCCACATGTCTCTCTAACCACAACTAGAAAAGGTTTTTGATTTTTAAGGACTTGTGATCAGGTTGGACCCACATAGATAATCCATAGTAATCACCCAAGCTCAAGATTTTTAGCTTTGCTCACATCTGTAACCTTAATCCCTTTTTGTCACATAATTTAAAATATTCACAGGAGATTAGAACTTGGACATATTTAGAGGGTCATTGTTTGATTTACTACCAAAACAACTATTCGAAACACTATTGAGAGGTCACAGAAGATAAAAACTAAAAATTTTCTAATTGGATGTAGCGTGTGGAAATATATAAGAGCAATTCCAGTGGGATGGAGATCACAAAAATGGGCTGAAAATGAAATTAGGGAGGTTACAAGTAGATAGTTTTTTTGTTTTGTTTTTTCTTCAAGAAATCTGACTATGAGTAAGAAATGCAGCTCTTGAAAACCACTTAAGTATAAATGGTTATTTATTTTGACTGGGAGAATCATTGTCTATATTAGGATTTGGCTGGTTGGAGCCAAAATTCTACCCCTCTAATTCCAGAGAGCTTCTTGTTCTATCATGAATATCTGAGGAAAAATGAACAAGGGAATCATTAAAAATCAATCAATAAAAATAAAACCTGGAAGATTTCTCGTGAACTGAGAAAATGTAAGTTAAGTAATATTTATTATGAAACCTTTTATGTTCATTTCTATTTTTGAAAGGGTTTATTATGTGGTTTTTAAATACATGTGTTCCACAGCAATTTATCATCTAGTAAATGTGTCTCTAAGAAGAATTTGCTAATAGCTTGATGTTGGCAAAAATAATGTGTTTCACATCTGCTGCCTCTGGAACCCAAAGATTTCAAAATAATATCTGTGCTGGAGAGGGCTGTGCTTAAAATGAGAATTGGCCTTCATATGAAGGAAAAATGGAGTATAAAAGGAAAACATACTCTAATAATTATAAATTAATGAAATCATAATCATGATAGTTAACAATTATTGAATTATTAACTTACTCTTCTCAATATTCTGAGAGTTATGCATAAGCTTATTACAGTAACTCACTAAAACACCCTTACAGCCCTGGCCAATGTGGCTCAGTTAGTTGAGCATCATCCCATGTACCGAGAGAGAGAGAGAGAGAGAGAGAGAGAGAGAGAGAGAGAGAGAGAGAGAGAGAGAGAGAGAGAGAAGCATGGATGTTCTATAACCTTTCGGTGCATGGGACAATTTCTATATGATCTCTATGTCTATCTCTATATATATCTCTAATCTATCATCTCTATCTCTCCTTTTCCCTCTCTCTGAAAATTAATGAAAGCATGTCCTCAGGTGATGATTAAAAAAATTCTCTCCCTTATAAAGTAGGTACAGTTGTGGAAACTGAGGCAGTGCTAGTACACACCAGAACTATAGTCTTAATCTATGCAGTTTACCAATATCAAACTATCAATAACAATAGGGCATAAACAAGAGAAATTCCAACAAGAGTACTTGGTAGACAATAAACCTAGCATTTATTGTCTACCAAGTGCTCATTTTAAGTATTTTACAGATGTAAATCATTACATTTTCACCTCAGCTTTATAAGGTAGATATTTTCCTGCCATCTCACAGATAAGAAACCAAGGCACAGATAGGTGAAATCATGTGGCTCCAGGGTCCAACTTTCTATCCAAATATCTGAAAGATGATTTTTAAAAGTTTTTTCATATAGGCAGTGACTATTCAGACATTGTGGCTATTGTCTTTTTGAGGTACTGGCAATGAAAGAATTATTAATTTTGATGGGCTACTAAATGTTTCCTTTCTGAACTTCTTATCTCCCTTAAGTATAAAGTATTGGGTGATCTGTAAAGTTTGTTTCAGCTGTATAATTCCGTGAACATAATGCTTTCAATATCATATGCCAAAATTCCTTCTATATTTTTCACAAGTATCTATGGTTGTGTTTTTACATGCCAGGATTCATGCTACATTTTATTGTTATAATGATGAATAGTTATTTGCAACTAGAGGCCCAGTGCATGAATTCGTGTACCAGTGGGGACCCTCGGCCTGTCTACAGGATCAAGCCAAAACCCACTCTCCAACATCCTCCCAGGGGTGCCAGATTGAGAGAGGACACAGGCCAGGCTGAGGGACTCCACCAGTGCATGACTGGAAGCCAGGGAGGGATACAGGAGGTTGGCCAGCTGGGGAGGGACCACAGGAAGGCTCCAGGGCATGGCTGGCCTTCTTGCTTAGTCCTGATCTGCCAGACCCCATCAGCAAGCTAACCTACCAGTCTTGTTGTCTGCCTCTTGGTGGTCAGTACACGTCATAGCAAGGAGTTGAACAGCCTTAGCATATCATTAGCATATTATGCTTTGATTGGTTGAACAATTGACTGGATGACTGGACACTTAGTATATTAGGCTTTTATTATATAGGAAATGATTTTTTTCTATAGTGACGATTTTGACCTCTTTAAAGTCTTTGAGCATGTTGACCATAACCAACTACTTGAAACACTTGAACCTTTTGGATTTTATGACAAACACATTTTAAACTTTCCTCCTACTGTTTGGACTGTGACTTCTCATTCCTATTTCATTCTCTTTCTCATCCGCTTCTATGTTTCAGGGAACTATTCTTTCTTTGGTAAACGTAGTTTCTAAGGGTTTTAAATTATCATCTGCAAGTGTGAATTCTGTTCTTCTTCAATGTCTATTATATAGGGTAAGCATTTATTGAGCTATTACAATATGCTAAGATCTATGCTGAGTGCATTACTAAGTGTAATTTTTCTTAATCCTCACATAGCTTCCCTGTTAATTATGATTACTCTTCCTATTTTACCCAGAAGGAAACTGAGCTTAGAAACACCTAGAACTTTAATCAGGTTATACATCCTATAAATGACAGAGGTTGGGATCAAATCCAGAAAGCCTTACTCTGAAACTCTGAAGCCCTGTCTCCTTACCACTTTGTTCTTCTGTGTGAGGTGTAGGTACCACACCAGAAACAGAGAGTCATATTCAACCTCAGTGAAAATGGATCATTTGGCCTAGGTATAGAAGTGTGAAATGAAGAGAAATAAGTGATATGTCTTTCTGAAGTCATATCTTTGTGACAAAATGAAGTTCTAATTTCCATAATTAGAGCATTTCCCTTGGGGCTTGCATGCAGAGGGAACAGTTATTTCAACACCTTTTCCCAGAGATGTGTAGGTATGTCTCCTCTCTTGCCGCTAAAAGAATCCTGAAGGAATGAGTGTAGGAGTATCCGAGAGGCTTTGAGAGCTTTGTTTATGACTGAAACAAAAGAAACAAAATGGGGGAAGGTATCACCGGCCATTGTGTGTGTGTGTGTGTGTGTGTGTGTGTGTGTGTGTGACACTGAATATGTGTATGTGTGATGGCCTCAAGCAGCTAAGAGATTACACAAAGTTATGAGTCAGACTCTAAGGAAAGCCTATTCCAGCAGCCAATTGAATATAAGGAGATACTAAAGAACAGAAATATGACCCAACAAGTCTGCTTCAATTTGACCATAAAGTGAGAGAACTGAGACAATCCTAAAGTCCCTATTTAAGAAATGCCTAGAAACATTGATGTGTCTAGTGGAAATGATTTAGAATAAAATCAGGAGTTTGGAAGGCTTATGAAATCATCTAGCCTAAACTTTGGCCTGTACGTAGTCCATGTGAATTGCCTTAGATAGCACCCATTTAGGACCCATTTTTAAGGTCAGCTCAGAATGCGATTCCACAATCATTATGGAATTACTGTGATTACCTGCACCCACCACCAAGAAAGCCAAGAAATCCTTCTACATCAACATAATCTGCTTGTCCTCCAGAAAGATTAAAAAAGGTTATTATCACCATCCACCTTATAAAAACCTTAATATTCCTAGAGCTATTGCTAAATCACCACATTATCTCTCTCTTTCCAAATGATACCTTCAATCTGATCTTATTTGTCTGGTCTCCTTTCCAAACTGCACATCTGCCAACACAGCAGAAGGACAAGTGCCATATATGAGGCTTGTAGTATCTGTGCCATATGGCAAATGTCTGTCATCTAATATTGCTTAGAAGTAGAGAAGTAGTTTATGCCCACAGTAGGGTAAAGATTAACAAGGAATCCCCAGACAAGCTAATATTTCATGAAAATCTATAGGAAAAGTTCTTCCTTTGCTTATTTGGGTCTTGAATTTTAAAAACAAAAATATTAATGGTAATAATATTCTTATAAAGACCTATGGTGGGAATGAATCAGGTATCCTTTGAGAATGTTTAATATGCCATTAATATGATGAATGCCATTTATGAATCTTAAATCTGTGTTCATATACAGTAGTTATTAATAAAGAGTGATTACATTATTATTTTAATCATCATTTACCATTGGTGGAATTGTCTAACCCTTTCATGTGTTATTCACAGAAATGTGACCTGGAATAGTTTAGCTATCCCAGATACACACTGCTCACCAGAGCTAGAAGAAGGCTACCAGTGCCCACCAGGATTTAAATGCATGGACCTCGAAGATCTGGGACTTAGCAGGCAAGAGCTGGGCTACAGTGGCTTTAATGAGATAGGTCTGTCTTACTGGTAAAACACATTTTTCAGTTTCTATTTTATACTGTTATGAAATGGAGATAATAGATGTATAATTGATATTTCATATTAAGACCAGCTCTAGTATTTAAGAAACACAACTGCAAATTTTAATGATATGACTGAGTTATATTCTACCTTACAATCTATAACATACAATCTGTATTTATGTATAGACAGCAATGTCTATAGAGATTTAAGTAGCTCTCATTCTAAACTAGTTTGATTCTTAATTATAGCATTTAAGAGTGTTTCTTTGTTGAGCAAGGTTTAGGGGTTTTTGCCTCAAAAATAAATAAGACATGGTTTTCTTTCACATTTTAACTCTACTCAAGTGGTCAAGGTAAGTCTTAAATAATTGGAATAATAAGCATCCATGAATTTATGAGAGCTGAAAAGGAATCCTAGAACACAAGACAGCTAATCAAATATTTAATGAATATGCATCAACCATATAAAGGATATACGAGGAATACCTTGTGCTTAAATGTATAGATTTATTTGTGGCTTGTCCTATTAAGTCCTTAAATGTATCATTTACACACAGTAATTAAATAACTTAGTCACTTTAATATGTTTAATATGTCGTTAATGTGATGAAGGCCATTTATGAATGATATCATTGCATTTATTACAATTCCATGCAAATTGCTTGTATTGCTTTTTGAAGAAAAAAAATCCATAGAACTCTAAACCATTATTTTATGCTTTGAGACTATGTCTTAGTGAGTTCAGGCTGCCACAACAAAATACCATTGACTGGATGGTGTAAACATAAGTTTATTTCTTTCCAGTCTGGAAGCTGGAAGTCTGAGATCAGAGTGTCAGCATGGTAGGGTTCTGGTGAGGCGTCCTCCCCTCCCTAGCTTGCTGGTGGCTTTTTGCTGTGTTCTTACCTCAATGGGGTGGAAGTGGGGGGGGGGAGAGAGAGAGAGAGAGAGAGAGAGAGAGAGAGAGAGAGAGAGCAAGAGAGAGACAGAGAGAGAAAGCTCTCCAGTCTCTTCTTATAAGGGAACTAATCCCATCATGAGAAGCAAACCCTTATGACCTCATCTAAACAAAATCACCTCCAAAAGGCCTCACCTCCTAATAAATCATATCCGGGGTTAGGGCTTCAACGTGTAGTTTGGTGGGGAGGCACAAACATGTAGTCCATAACAGGATTATTATCAGAATTATTTGAAAATAACAATGAAATCAAACAATAAAATAATAAGTAAAAACAAAAAAAATTTAGGTTTCAAGGTGTAGGTACATTTAAGGGAATTCTAGACACTGTTACCCAGGGCCTAAAAGAAAAACCTTTCAATAACAGTGTGGTGGCTGTGCTGCTTTTGGAAGCCAAATGAATTTTCTGACTTTTGATGTGGTTCCACATCTCAGTGGGCCTGCTGGACAATGGGGGATTTTACTGATAGTCATACTCTGGATGGCAACTACTACAAAACCAGCCAATCGACCATCACACGTCAAAAAAAGTGGTGGCTGGTAAATCCATTGGCCTTCAGGCAGAGCAACTCCTGCATGGTGGTCCGCAGGGTGGCTTAGTGAATTCAGGGATGAATAGTGAAATGTGAGAAAGAGTAGATGCAGGTCTTGCATTGATGAAGGAGTGCTTTTCTGAGATATGAATTAAACCACAAGACTACATGAAGCCTGTGGACAGAATATAATACTGAACTTGAGCTGCGAAACACAAATTGTTGGAGGCTGCATTTTTTGTAAGTGAAATTTGTAAATAACATCCCTAAATTTTCATTCTTATATTGTAATATGTCCTCATAGTGGATTTCCAGCATTGTAGTTAGACAACTCTTTTGGCCAATGATAGGGCTTCCTATTTCACAAAAATTTAGAAACTAGAAGCATTTCAATTTGCCTTATGCTCTTAATCTTATTGGCTTTAGAACCAGTCTTATACCTCCTGTCTCAAAAGTGCAGAGGCCTCTGATGGATGACATTAATGCCTGTCAGGGATGAGCAGGCGATCACAGGTGTGGCTGGAACATGAGATATATCGATTTGGCAAACTGTGTGGAACAAGCTTCAGGAGTCCTAACAGCTGGGACATGACTCAAATGCCTGGCTGGTCAGAGCCTGCAGCTCCTTCTTGCAGGGGCCAACTAAATGCACCCATCTCTTATATGGAAAGTGGCTGGCATTCAGGCTGTAGGCTGCCTTGGCACAAGAATCATCCAATCCTTTAAAATCAAATCACACCCTGACCATTTTTAAATGCAGCCTAAACCCAAAATGCTGCATTCTATTTCAGTTGGTTCATCGTTCTTCACTGTAACTTACACTGGCTTCCACTAACGCAGGCTATAATCCCTCTTTAAGAGAGAAAGTCTCCTTATAAAGTACATTGGCTTGAGCAGCCCAATTCTAGGAGGGGATTGCTAAGCAATAATCTTGTGGTAGTTCTGTTTATTTGTACATTTCTCTTGCAAAGACTTAGGCTCCTTGAAAACAGGAAGCACACAGTTTCATCTTCATGTCTCCAGGGTCTAGGGCAATGCCTGGCTCGTAGGAAGCCCTCTACAAATATTTACTAGTGGACTGAACAAAGTACATGTCCTTTTAATTGGCTGATAACCAGTCATGTTTGTGTTAGGATATGAAACCATACTAGAGAATTAAGTTGCTTTCTTTTCTCTGACTTTGTCCATTTTTTGTCTATTCCTCATAACTTCCCTTTCTATGAAAGCCTAATTTGATTTGTTTGCTTCTTTTTCTCAAATGATGATTAAATTTGATATCACTGTATGACTAATGGTTAGATAATGAAATGTTGACTTTGTACTATCATCAAAAATATTTTAAAATAGTCTCTAAAGTTTAGATTGAAATTGATAACTACTTCTTGTTATTCTGTGTCTATCTAGATACACAGGCTGTAGCATTTTGGGAGATTTTCAAAGCTCTTATGGGGAAAAAATATAGTGTTTCCCCCAAAAATGAAGAAATTATTTTATTATCAATAGATACAGGTGATCATCTCTTTCTGCATGCAGTTTATTTTAAACCATAATTAGGTGCCTAATAGTGCACATAAATTTGGTCCAGGTACTTTATGTGTAAGTAATCGTGATTAATTAAAAAAGAGCACATTTCTTTTCTTTATTAATCAAATTATCATGTAATACATTGAATTTCAACTCAATTATGTAATTTCATTTATAAGTTCCTTTTGTCCTGATTGAAATTTAATACTGATGTTGGAAATTCAATTTTTAAAATATCTTAAAAGCTAGAGTCATTAAGTAGAAAATAATTATAAAGAGCCCCCATTGTAAGATTGCAGAGTAAAGACACCTTTGCATCTCTAAAATCACCCAAACATCAAAGAGACTGAGAAACCAAAATACAACTCATATATTTAAGGACTCTGAAAACACACACACACACACACACACACACACACACACACACACACTATAACCATAAATCAATCAGAGGGCCAGATGACTAATGAAAAACTTCCTGAAAGGATTCTGGTTTCAGAGGATCTCAGACAGACAGCAAAATGCTGACATTCTGAAATAACAAATGATCCCAGTGGAGCAGAGCAGAGCAGCCCTCTGTTGGAGGGGAAATCAGTGTGTAGCTGACTGTGGGAGCTTTCTGGGTCTCCATGCGGCACCACAGAGTAGTGACCCTTGTTTTTGCAAGGAGTTTGTAGTGAAGTAGGGGATAGACACTCCATTGTGAGAGGCCCAGGGTCGCTGATCCATGTGGACCAGGACAAAGGAAAGACCCAGCTTAAGGTTTGAGAATCTGGCTGTACCTTAGGATGAGCTATACTTTAGGACCATTATTCCCAGGCCCAATAAACCGAAATTTTAGAGGGATCCCTGGCAGAGATGGCTTTAAAAAGTTTTCCAAATGATTCATAATTCAGTGCATGCAATGTTGTGAACCACTGGATTGATACACACACATACCCACCTAAAAAGCTTCATTTCTATCCCATCATACCACCTCATTCCTCCTCTACATGATACAGAGACAAATAGTGGGTCCCATAAAATTGAAGTCAAGGTGAGTAATAATAATAAAATAAAATAAAAGAATCATGGTCATGTCTATAAAAATGTACCTTTAGGTGCATTTAAAACTGGGGGAAAAATATTCCAGATAAATAACTTAAAAAATAAAACTGTAGAAGAAGAAGGCCTGAGTATATGGATTAAAAAGGTACAACTTGTAAATGAACATAGAATAATCAACACTGAGGTATATCTTAGTAAAGATGCTGGAATTCAAAGCTAAAAAAAAAAATATCCACTAAGCATTCAGGGGGGGAAAAATGATCTAGTCATTTTTATGGGAGGCCATCGGAGAAACATCACTCTTTGGGGTATAATGACACAATGTTTACAAAGTCTTAGGGAAATACTAGTGATGTCTTGAACTCTTCTTATTTTTGAGAGTCAAGAACTCAGACTTTATTTTATATGAAATATTGAAGTCATTCATCTAATCAGGAATGACTGGTCATGAGACTAGTCTCCAATATCTATTTACTGATACAACCCTAGGATTTAGGGAATATATATAAATATTAAAAATTATGGTTGTGTAAAAAAAGAGGAGACAAAGAGGGAAGGGAATATAATGATGTTGCTGTCCTTATCATTTATAGTTAGCAGTAAAAACAAGCATGAAAATATATATTACATGGATCATATAAGGAGGTATTTGTACATTTGCCATGAGAATGTATTACAAAGACAAAAATTACTTTAGAAAAAATTCATAACTCAAAATAATGGCTCCGAAGGTTTCAACCACAGTTGTAGTCACTAGTGTGGTGACCTTGGGAAAGTAATTACTCCTACATGCCTCATTTTCCTGATCTGTGAAATAGGTAAGTTATAGACCTCCGCTGTAGGGCTAATGTGAGGAGTAACTGAGAAGCTGCACTTGTAATAGTGTCTACCGCAGAGCAAACACACAGTGAGTTATAAATTAGTTCACA